CCTGCCAAGCATCAATGCCAGGCCTGGCACACAGCGGAGCTCCTTAAGTGACAAGACTGCCAATCCTTGAGCCTGACACCTAGTGGCTAAAGTGGGGAATTCGGGCTACTTTTCAAAACAGCTCCAAGGCAAAAGGGTCTCAAAATGTGTAATATCTTACTTAACATACTCCCTTAGCTGAGGTGAAAGACCTAACCTTTACCTCCCCACCTGTTCCCACTTGCCAGAGGGGAGATGGAGTTTGGGTAGTTCTATGATATTAAAAAATTGGGGAGAAACCAAATTAATATTTTTTTGATATGTGTGAATATACTAAAAACCATTGAATTGCACACTTTAAGTGGGTAGATTACATGGTATGTAAATTACATCTCAATAAAGTTGTGGGCTTTTTAAAAATTTTTTTAAGTAAAAGGACCTAGAAGGTTTTTTGGGGGGTGGGGGGAGGGTTATAATCAATCAACTGATGGATAAAATTTTTTTAAATAATGATTTTTGGTTCCCTTTAATAATTCACTCAGTAAGTAACCCCCAGTATTATATAAAACCAAAAGTCTGTAGACTTTTGCATAACACTTGTCTCTTTTTTTAAAAAGGCAAAATGAAAAAAAACAAGAACTTAGATTTTTAGATCAATCTGCACCTTGTCAATAGGCTCCGTGTGGGCCAAGAACCACACCTACAGAATCCTTGGTCTAAGCACCTAGAAAAATTTTAAGTGTCTCTAAGTCCATAGAAAGAGTTTGAGTGTCTCCAAGAACGTGGAAAGAATGTGAATGTCACACAGGGAAAGATGACCTCTGACCCAGCTTCTCATCTAAAGAACTCATAAATATCACGCTAAAAGTAAGAGAAGTTGCTATTAATTGTTATTTAATATCTCCTACTGGGCAGGAAGAGTAACATAAAGGACTCTGCTTGGAGCCTGATACATATCATCTCATTTAATTCTCACGACACTACCACGTCCTAAACGCTACTATTATTTCCTCTTTATTGTTAAGGAAACTGAGGCTTAGAGAGGTTTATTTGCCCAAAGTCACACAGCCAGGGGTGGCAGAGGAGGGATTTGACTTTCCTCTGCACCATTCTGCCTCCTAATGTATCCATTTTATATCCAATTTACAGTGTGAGTTTTTTACTTCACGCTTTATAGTACATGAGGGCCTTTTGCATAATTAATGTACACATGCTTGATGTCTAGAACTCATTACTTGTTTTCTTGTTTTAAAATTATTACCGAAGTTTATGGTTATTGCAGCTTTATGTTCTCATGTTGGTTAGATCTGTGATTATCCATTGGTGCTACGGAAGAGTCGTGCTTCTCTTTAAAGACAACTCATCACAGAGGTGGCTTCGCTTGGCAAGAGCAGCCATCAGGGAGATGGGATGAGGCAAGCTTGACTCTGCCACGAGAAGAGGGACACTTGGGAAACTTAGCGTGTTGAATACAAGTGAGGAGCGATGCAAGTAGAATGTGTCTGATAGGGAAAACTTCGAAGGACAGGCCAAGAAGTCTGTACTTTATCCTACAGGCAAGGGATGCTTTCACGGAGGGGAATGCCATTGTTGGATCTGTGTGTTAAAAGCACTCATCTTGTTTCGGAACAAGCCAGGAGCCACCCTGAAGAGGGACTCCTCTGGGTGCTGGGTTGGCCAGAATAAAACACAACCACAATCAGGCTTAGATGTGGCTGAGGAAAGTGCCTCTGGCCTAGCACTGTCCAGGGTCACTTCTTTCTTGCCCCAGATCCTACCTCTCCAGTGGATTCTCCTCTGTACTTCATGCTAGTCCACACTGAAACAACCTGGGCCTGAATCCTAGCTCTGGTGCTCACCAGACGTGTGTCTGTGGTCCAGTGTCCTCTGTGTCTCAATGTCTCCATCTGTAAAAGGGGACAACAATAGAACTCACCTTGTATAACTGTTGTGAGAATTAAAACAAACACACATACATGAAAACCTTAGAAGGGAGCCTGGTGCAAGGTAAGCATTATGTGAGCTTTTGCTTTGGTCCTTATTACTCAGATTGGACAGCCTTGAATCGGGGCTGTTGCGAATTCTCAGACTCTCTATCAACACTTGACTAAAAGTTGGCCTTCCAGATGAAGTCTTCGCCCTCGGTGTTTCTGTAGCCCTCCTTTTATTCTTCCCTCTACTGGAAGGTGTTCATGTAAATGCTGGGCCTATGCCTCTGCTCAGAATTCTCCGCTAAGTTTGTGCATATGTGCGAAAACTCTTGGGGATAATTTTGCCTGATTTCTTCATTCTTGTGCTGCAGAAGAAGAGGATTTGGAAGACTTCGAAGCTTCTAGTGGAAAGAGAACAACTTTCTTTCTAACCCAAGGGCTTCTCAGAAGCCGGCCATTCCATGCTATTTTCCTGTTATCAATAGTCCCTCCCAAAATCTTGGTAGGTTGATAAAAAGAAAGGAAAAAAAACCCTGTGCCTCCAGAGCTCCACTGGATGGCTGCTTTTAACTGTTTCCTGCCTACTCATGGGTGAGTCACACAGACCTTCTCAACAGCTCTCTTCTCTGTACTCAGGCTCCTTCCAATCAGAAGGCGGTTGTCAAGGGAACCACAGGTACCAGTCTCCTGCCACCCCTGTGATTCAAAGCCTAATACACATTGAAAGAATTTCCATTCCAGAGCTTAGCGGATTTCAGCATCGTATAACCCTCTTAAACTCCAGTTTCAGTCACTTCTTCCTTACAGGGGCTGGTCTTCCTCCGCAGTAGTTAAAGTCCGCCCTTTCCCCTGAAATGCTCATGGTGCTACTGAGATTGCTCACAGGATTAATTTGGTTAATTGATCCTTACTGAGATGTGACTAGTAGAGAAGAAAGGCAATAAAACCTGTTTGGCAGAGCCATGCAAGGATTGAATGAGATAATGCGGGCAAAGTGCTTAGCACAGAGTAGGGACTCAATAAAAAGCTGAGGCTACGTGCTGCACAGAGAACATGTAGGGGAGCAGAAAGTGTGTTTGGGGACTCAGCGTGAGGCTGCCTCTCAGCATACGCCATTTAGAGACCTCCCTGAGAGAGGGGGCCTCCCATCCCCTGACCCTTCTTCAGTTTGGATTGTCCATGATTATCCAGTTTCCCGGTGGGAAAACAGAACCAGTCACCTACCTGCAGATGCCCGTCTAGTACTCTCATCCGGAAATGATGTCGTGTCTAATTTATAGTGGATTCAACAAGGCTTTCAAAAAACAAGAGCCCATTCTTGCCTTTGGGGGCTCACCCTGTTACCACCAGGCCCAGGCTGCTTCCCTACTCCTATACCTTCCCCCAAAGCTCCCCTGCCATGTTATAGAGATCCAATCGCCTGCTCCACACCCCAAAACCACAGGAGACTGGGCAGCCAAATGCGAGTGCTTGCACAGTGACCGAAGTCTTCAAATGCAAATATTCTAACAAGCCAGGCAGAAGCTTTAACGCCTTTTATGGCCTAGCTTCAGGAGTCACAGTGTGTCACTTCTGTACTCCACTTGTCCAGTCACAGAAGCCACCCATTTGCTAAGGGAGGGGACATCGACTTCACCTCTAAACGAGAGTGGTGTACAGGTCACCTCATTTGTTTGCTAGGGCTGCCATGACAATCTGCCACAGACTGGGCGGCTCAAACAACAGAAGCACATTGTCTCACAGCTCTGGAGGCTGGACAGCCAAGACCAAGGGGTCAGCAGGGTTGGTGCCTTCTAAGGGCTGTGAGGGTGAATCTGTTCTGTGCTTCTGGTGGTTTGCTGGCAACCTCTGGCATTCCTTGGCTTATAGAGGCATCACTCCCATCTCCGCCTTCATTTTCACATAGGTGTCCAAATTTTCCCTTTTGTCATATTGAACTAGGGGTCCACCCTACTCCAGTACGACCTCATCTTAACAATTCCATCTGCAATGACCCTATTTCCAAATGAGGTCACATTCCGAGGTGCTGAAGGTCAGGACTTGAACATATGAATTTTCAGGGACACAATTCAACCCATAACAGTCACATTATAAGAACAAGTAGGAAGGGAGATGTTATTATAGTCATCTTTGGAAAATACATTATGCCACAGGCATCCATCTCAATGGCCAATTAATTTCTACACTTTATAGGAATCCTCTAATCACTCAGGGAAGTTATTGTAAATGGTAGATGTTTCCCAACTGCTTTCCTGCAATCTTAGGATTCCCTCTAGTTAAACAGAGATCTTAGGACCTCTTGCATCTAAGAGCTGTACAGTCTGCACAATTAGTGCATTGATTTGAAATATATTCAAGGGGCTATGTTTAAAGCCATTTTTAAATTATTCAGTGAAATCTAAATCAATCATTTGCAGAACTCTTGAGGCATCTGCTAAATATGATTTGGAAACCTCAGATCCAGTTCAACAGGATGCCCAGAAACAACCTGTGTGCAACCACAGTCATTGGCCAGAAGCAGATGCCACATTCAGACTCATGGAGAGCACCTGGTCCTGTCCCAGCAGAGGGCGCCCCACCACCCCAACTTCCACTCTGGAAACTGTATCTACAAGGCAGTCTCCAAAGTCCCATCTCCTCCCATCTCTGCCCCACAAAGCAAACACACAAAAAAGTGGGAGTTAAAGTGGGGTTGAAGATCCCATTTGGGTACTGTATGGTTCCACTTACATGAGGTACCTAGAATAGGCAAATGCATAGACACAGAGAAGAGCAGTAACCCCCCACCGAGGGGCTGGGTCGGGGAGAGGGAAATGGGAGTTACAGTTTAATGGGTACAGAGTTCAGAGTTTCTGTTTGGATGACGAAAACATTCTGGAAATGGATAGTGGTGATGGTCACAAAACATCGTGAATGTACTCATTGCCACTGAATTGTACACTGAAAGAGGTTAAAAATGGTAAATTTTCGGGATGTATATAATTACCACAATTAAAAAGAAAATAGATCTCATTTGGGGCAGGTAGTGAGCTATGAAATACCAAAACAAACAATCAAACTTTTCTTAGGGTTCATCAGTGTCTAAAGCACTTTCATATACCTTAATTTATTGAATCTTTTTTTCAAACCCTAGAAATTATGTGTAATTGTTGCTATTCTACAGAGGAGAAAATAGAGGCCCAGAGAGTGAGCTGCTCAAGGTCACGGGCTGGATAAATGACAGAACCAGGTCTGTCTGTAAAATGCAGGCAAAGGAGTCCACATAGACGGCTGGCCCTTTAAGAAATAGAAGCTTTTTTTCATTTCACAGACTCATTGGACACCAGACTGAAGGGACTCTTAGAGGTCTGGTTTGATGCCTACAGAGAAAGAGAAATCTCCTGCTCTTAGACTCTGACCAAAGGCTCTGGACGCCATTGAGTATGCTGTTCCCTTTGTCTTCCTTCTTGAGAGGTCGAATGTCATGTCCGTGGTGAAGAGCGAGGGCTCCGCCCTGCTCCCATGTCCCATCCATGTGACCTTTAGTATGTCACTTAATTTCTCCATTTCATATCCATTAAACAGGCAAAATCAAACAGGTCTTGCCTGAAGAGGACTGACAAATGAGAAGATTAATGATGTAAAGTATTCAGCACAGAACTGATTGCTGTTTTATCTACCCAGGACAAACACATAGTCAGCCACGCTCTGTAATGCACAGCTGCAAAATAGAATGGGACAAATTAGAATGCCAGCTCTAGAGACAGACTGCTGCCTAGGTTTTTTTAAAAATTATTAACAGTTTCGTGAATGTATAACCGACATACAATACACTGCACATGTTTAAAATGCACCACTTGATAAGTTTGGACATATGTATTCACCCCTGAAACATCACCACAATCAAGATAATAAACAACTCCATCCCACTCAAACATTTTCTTGTGCCCTTTGTAATATCTCTTCCAGGCACTCCCCAGTCCTCCTTACCTGATCTCTAGGCAACCACCGATCTGTTTTCTGTCACTATAGATTAGCTTGTATTTTCCAGAATTTTATATAAATGGAGTCATACAATATGTACTCTTTTATTTCTGGCTTCTTTCACTCAGCATAACTGTTTTGAGATATATCCATGTGGTTGCACATATCAATATTACTTAGTATTATTCCACTATATGAGTTTACCACTATTTGTTTATCAACTCACCTGTTGACTGATGTTTAGGTTGTCAATCCAGTTTGGGGCTTTTACAAATAAAGCTGCTAGGAGCATTCATGTGTAAGTCTTAGTGTAGAGACATGCTTTCTTTTCTGTTGGGCAAAACCTGGGAATAGCAGTTCCCATGAGAAGAATATGTTTACTTTTTAGGAATCTGCCAAATTGTTTTCTAAAGCGGTCGTACCATTTTACTTTCCCACCAGCAGTGTATGAGAGTTCCAGTCCCTCCATATCCTTGCCAACATTTGATACGGTCAGTTTTTTTTTCATGTTAGCCATTTTGGTGGATGTGCAGTGGTGTCTCATTGTGGCTTTAATTTATACTTCCTCGATGACTAATAATGCTGAACATATTTTCATGTGTTTACTTGCCATCCACATACAGTCTTTAGTGAAGTGTCTGTTCAAATCTCATTCATGCCAGTTACCACCTAGGTAACTTCAAGCAAGCAACTTAATGTGTCTGTGCTTCCAGTTCTGTAAAACAGAATAATGACGGTCCCCACCTCACGGGGTTGTTGTGAGAGTCTCTCCAGCCCCAGTACCCAGTCTGCCTGTCCCCACCCTTACCACACAGAGCCTTACAGGCAAGACCTCCACACCTGCTCCTTAGTTTCCTCCTCTACAAAAGGTACCGCTCCCCACTCATGCACACACTCACATACTCACACATCACACAGTTCCACTCCCCTGCCAACTGTGGAGACAAGAGACAGGCATCAGGAGCAGAGGCATATTGGTCTGGATGTCCAGGGACTGCATTTGACAGTCTGTCTCTCAGGCCGTTTAAACCACTACTGAAAGACACTTGATATATTAAGATGTTTTTTCCCTCTGCTTAGAATTCCAACCTGTTTGTTTCTGAGGTGAAGGCTATCTGTGCAAGGCAGGGGGAGGAAAGGAGCCACTGAGCTGCTGTAGAGAACATTTGAACCTCTGAGTCAGTGCCCACCCCCAAGCTTCACACTGGCTCTCAAAGGGAGGGAGCAGATAAGGCCAGCATCATCCAGGCCCTATTTCAGCTCCCAGAGCCTATTTTCCTCCCCCTCAAGCCCATCAGGTCTCAGCAGCATTGAGGTGTAGCCCAAGCCACAGAAGGTGTGGATGCTCCCACAAGGAAGAAGGGACAGCCCCAAGACCAGACCTAGCCAGGCCCGGACAGGGCTGGGGAGCTGGCCAGGATGACAGGACAGATATCTAGAACCAAAGCTGAAAGGATGATGTGGGGGTTAAGAACGAGTCACCCCAAGATATGCTCCTGTGGTATGCAGATTGTTTTGAGCTAAAGGCTTCTTTAGCTGTAGGATCAAGAGAAACTTCTACCCTTCCCTTAACTACCTAGAAGAACTTGAATTAGGGGCCTTATCCATAATAAGAGATTATCAGATAACCTTTTTTGACCTACTTATATGGCAAGGCAAACTACTAATTATTGAACATGTGCTCTCCCTACAATGACCTTCTGAGGCCCCAAGGTGCCTTACCTCATCTTTAGCTCAGGATGTCTTATATATCCATTTTCCATTTCTGTCTCTGAACCTCTCCTGCATGTGGGGTCTCTGACTCTCCCGTGTATGCAGGGTTCTCATACTTTATATGTATTAAATTTGGTTATTTTCTCTTGTTAATCTGTCTCATGTCTATTTAATCATCAGACCAGTCTGAAAGAACCTTGAGGGTAGAGGAAAAGTTCCTTCCTCCCCCACAATGACAAATCGAGTCCTATACAAGGTGGATCCTTGGCTGCAGGAGTATAGTAGAGCCCACCATGGGACTTGGGGACAATGCTTAGGTTACCCAGTAAGAAGATCAGCCTGGTACAGTGCTTCTCAACTGTAGTCCTCAGAGCAGCTACTCTGGTCACCTGAGAACTTGTTAGAACTGCAAATTCTCAGACTCCATGGAGAGACTGGGGGTGGGGAAGGAGCCAGCAATCTGCTTTAACAAACCCTCCAGGTGACTCTGATGCAGCCCCCAAGCATAAGATCCCCTGGCCTTGCAGAGGGACATGCTAGGTGGAAAGATGGATCTAAGAAGCCATCAGTCTTTTTCAAGGACAAAGGTAGAAGCCACAGTGGTCACAAGCCAAGCACAATTCTGAGAAACAAATGAATCCTGGTTCACATTCTAGCCCTGCCACTTCCTACCTGTGTGACCTTGAGTCTTTCTAAGCCTCTTTTTCTTCCTCTGTAAAAACTGGACAAAGACAACCTTATAAGGCTGTTTTGAGGATTTTAAAAGATAATATGCCTGGAGGGCAAGGCATATATTAAGCAAAAAAAGAGCAGCTGTACAGACCTGCCATAAGCCCAGACAATGACTTTGGGCACATTAGACAAAGTGGTCCCTTGCTCACATCGCTTTACTGCCATCTTGGTAAAGTGGTCATGTTAACTTTTCAAAACTAAGAAAACAACTTTGAGAAGGGCATCAGCCTGTGAAAAGGACACCTGGAGATGCACAAAATATAACTGTAAAGGGTCCCGACTGTGTTTGTTATTATGAAGCACCCACCCTTAAGGTGCAAAAGTAGGGTATACAGCCCAGGCAGGGCCGGATACAGGACCACACTCCCTGGGGCTAGCTCCCCAGAAGGTAACGCCTTGTGTCTTTCCTCTATTATCCACAAAAATAACCTCAGCCTCTATCCCAGATATCTGGGGGAAGGACAGGCTGCTCCCTAATATTTTCTTTCATTTTCAGGGTTGCTTCCACTTTCCTAGTCACTTCTTGCCCTCAGCCCAGTTCTGAAGCCCTCCCACCTCCCACTTCCGGCCCCTACTGTCCTGTACCTTTCAACTCTCAGGAACCCAGTGCCTCTACCTGCACGCCCTAAGGCATAGCCAACCCGAGCCTGCTGCAAGTAACTGACTTCCCTGAGGGTAAGGGAGAGTGCAAAATAGCACACAACTGAAAACATTTAAAGTTGAATAGGCATCTCAGCATTCCTCAGCCGGCCCAACATGGAATTTACCATGAGTCATCATCCTTCTGGGGCTGAAACCTGCTGTCCTGTTTGGAGACACTTCATTTTCCTACCATAAACTTTCTTTCATCTCCTCTTTTCCCTTGCAAGGCCCTGAAAACTCCATTCCTCACGAGCTGCCAATGGACATTTCTCTGATTCACTCTGGTTTGTTTGTAAAGCAATTTCGCTCCTGATAAAACTTCCTCCTTCCAGACTATATGAGGTGGGAGTGCAGAGTGAGCCTTCTCGTGAATAATCAAAAAAGCCTATTTATAGTGTTTTCTTAAACAAAAGAATAGCTTTCCTTTTGTCAGGCACCCTTCTTACCCTGACCTGGAGTGTAAAAAATGTGGCTGGAGGCATTTCTGTTTTTAAATAGCAATTTTTCTCCTTGCTATTACACATATGCAATGCACAGAAACCCCTGGAAATTCCTCGTTTTTATTAAAAATTCCAGATGGTGCAGCAGAGATTTCAGACACTGTAGCTTCTGTTAACAACAGGAAATTAATAACCAAACTGATTTGTAATCATTGTTATCTGGATTGGTGACAATCCATGAAATAAAAGAAGCAGGGTAACAGTGTTTGAGGCACAAGATATGGAATCAGCAAGGCCTGGGTTTGAATCCTGGATCTCCCATTTATTAGCATTTATTAGCTGGAACACTAGTCTGGGAAGTCACCTAACCTCTCTGGTCCTCAGTTTCCTCACATGCAAAATGGAGAAATAACAGTACAGTCAGTTCTACCATAATGTAACATGCGTTCCTAAAAAGCACCACCACTATGTGTGATATAATATAAAAATATCCTTGTTCCTGGCACAGAGTTCCTAAAACCCTTGAGATTTCTTGAGTGATAGGAGAGTCTTTTGTTATTCATAATAAGCCCCTTTCAATCATACCTGAGTTTATGCAGATTATTTTAATAAGGTGATTTAGGATGGAGCCCTTAGATTGTCTCAGGATGGGACTGGTCACCAAAAAAACCAAGAGATTAGAGAATTGGAAATTTTAGCCCCACTCCCCACCTTTGAGGAAGCGAGGAAAGCTGGAGATTAAGCTCTAGAAAAATTCTTGACAATGAGATTTGATGAGCTTCTGGGCTGGTGAACACATGGAGGTTCCATGCCCCATCCCCATACCTTGCCCTGTGCATCTCTTCCATTTGGCTGTTCTTGAGTTGTACCCTTTACAATAAACCAGTAAATGTAACTAAAGTACCTTCCTGGGTTCTGTGAGGCATTCTAGCAAATCTTAAGAGGGGCCAATGTCAGTCAGAAGTATAAAGCCAGGGACACGTGACTAGCATCTGAAGTGGGGTCTGGCTGCTGGGACTGAGCCCCTAAGCTGTAGGTTTGAGCTAACTCTGGGGAGTCCATGTCAGAACTGAATTGAATTGTTGGACACCCAGCTGGTATCCACAAAATTGGAGAATTGGTTTTTGGTGTTGGAAAACACTACAGACTATGGATAAACAACGTGTGGTCTATACATACAACGGAATATCATTCAACCTTTAAAAAGAGGGAAATTCTGACACATACTACAACATGGATGAAACTTGAACACATTATACTAAATGAAATAAGCCATTCACAAAGGGCAAATGCTGTACGATTCCACTCCTATGAGACACTTAGAATGGTTGAATTCATAGACAGAAAGTATAGTGCTGGTTGCCAGGAGCTAGGGGCAGGGGAAGAAATGGGGAGTTGGTATTTAATGGATACAGAATTTCAGTTTTGTAGTATGAAAAAAAATTCTGTGAATGGGTGGTAGTTACGGCAGCACAACAATGTAAATGCACTAAATACTAGTGCACTGTATAGTACTTAGAAATGGTTAAGATGGTAAATTTTGTTATGTGCATTTTATCACAATTTTTTAAATTAAAAATAAAAGAAATCACCACTTTGCAAAACCCACAGGGCCAACGGAACCATGAAGTTAGGTCACAACACTCAAAAACTTCACTGGTGACACGTTAAAAAATCAAAAGCAACCTAATAAAAAGAGTAGCACCGTTTCACATGTTAAGTAGTTAAGAAACACATAAACACTACCAAAAGCATAACGCTTTACCTTGAAAATAAAAGACCGTTAGTTTGATTGTGAAGGCCAGTGTCAGAAGGGTTGCAGCTTGTGAGTCCCTGTTAAGTAGTGGAAGGAAAGTCATCAGAAATGAGAAGGAAAGTTCTAGCCCTAGATGTCTGCCTCATGACACACATAACGTGCAGCAAACTGAGGAGCCTGGTAAGTTTTGAGGTATGCATGCTTGTGCTTTGTGTATTCATTCCCACATGGCTTGTTTTAACTGGGTGCAGTAGTGGTCTCACCTGGTGTTTCTCCAACAGGAAATCACACATAAGCAAGTGCCAAGTTAATTGTACCCTCAAATTTTTCCCTAATACATCTATGACATTGCAATAAATCAACATTTTCAAAATAAGCACAATAGAAGAATTACTGTATGATAAAATTTCTAGGAGTTCAGAACACATCACCCCCAAGACATGCCTCTGTGGTATATGGATTATTTTGAGTTAAATACAACCAAGACCTTGTGAGCTCTAGAGAAACTGTCCCCCTTTAACTACCTAGAAGAATTTGAACTAAGGGCTTTGCCTGTAATAGGAGATTATCAGAGATAATCTTTTTTTGACCTACCTATAGGGCAGAGCAAACTTCTAACTATAAAACATGTGCTCTTCTCATCTTCCTGCAATGTCCCTTTGAAGCCTCTAAGGTACCTTACTTCATCCTTAGCTCAGAATGCCAGATATACTTCATTTTAACTTTCTGTCTTTGAATATTTGATGTATGAGGGGGTCTCTGACTCTCTCGTGTATTTGGAATTCCCATATATATGTATGTAATTAAATTTGGTTATTTTCTTTTATTAGCCTGTCTTATGTCTAGTTGATTATTAGACCAGCCAAAAGAAACTTAAGGGTAGAGGAAAGTTTCTTTCTCTCCCACAAATTATAACAATGATTATGTGATAAAATGCATATGAAACTTTTAATTAATAGTGCCTAGGACATAGTAACTGCTCAGAAGTAATGTTAGTGATTGTAGTGGTTGGGACAATGGCTGTGGGCCCATGATTATTCTTCATATTGTTGCACCAAAGAGAGTCACCCAGAGCTGGACCAAGGGAGACCGCATGTCCATTTTACAGATGGCAAAACTGAGGCCCAAAGAATCTGGAAAATCTCTCAAGATCATGCAAAAGTCTGGTACAAAGTGGTTAATTAAAACATATATATTTACTGATATAGAACTTGCATTGTGTTCCCTGGGTGCCTGGTCCAATCACTTTGCCCAGATCAACAGAGCTATCAGAAAAATGCTCTCCACCTTTGGGGAATTTGAGCCCTTTTTAAAAGGCAAAGGCAATGGGTAAAACTTTCAGTTCTGTCTGAAAAAGCAAGACTAATTTTTCTGGTGGTTCCTATTAACTTGAAAAGAGCAGATCTGCCCATCAAATGGCATTTTACCAGCTGATCAATTTGGTGTCATTCTCATTGAATTAAATCAAATTGAAATGTAATTCCCTTCCCGGAACAAATCCCCCTGCAGGGACTCGCTGCACAGAAGTGTTTGACCTTGTGCTGACTGCCTAGAGGGCTTTCTAGAAAGCCGGAGGTATGAGTAGTGTCTGCAGAGCTCACGCCCTGCCTGGCACAACCCTCTAGGCTAACTTCTGGGCTTGACTGCAGCATACTCCTAGATCAATGGAGATGCCCAGATAGCTTCTGTTGAGCCCTGCTGGGGCATGGTCAAGTACCTGAAGGTGGGCTTACACCTCAGAAAGTGAGTTGGCATATACAAAGGAGCAAGGCAGAGTCACAACACAGAGAGCCTTTGTACAAATGAGGAAAAGCCTCCCCTTCCAGGTGGAGCAATTACAAAATGGTACCCTTCATGGTAGAAAGAAGGTGCTTCTTCCTGTAGACTATGGCAGCCCCACATCAGGGTGTGAAGGTTGATGAGTAGTAAGTTCAGCCCCTCACACATCCCCAGACTCAACCTACCGAACCACAGGCAGTAGTGCTAGTCAGCTCCCCACTGGGGCCAGCATAGAAGTCTCAGTGCTGAGGAGTTCCTAGAGCAGAGGCTCAGCTCTGGCAGAAAACGGGTATGACTCAAAGTATCCGGTGGCCGCTGGCTGAGCTGGCTGCAGTTGTTTCCACCAAGTACTGGGAGACCCTATGAACAAGCCCACAAATATTTTCCTCCCGAGAACTCTCCATTGAACCTAAGGTTGTGCAATTCTGACCTGTGGCCCTCCTACCTTTTATCCACCCATCCATTCCTTGCCTTGGGAGCCAGAAAACCTGGCATCAAATCTTGGCTCTACTGACCAGATGACCTTAGGCCAATGACTTAAATCTCTCTGAGTTTCAGCGATGCAGTAATAATACCTATTAGCAGCATATGAGAGTGAGTGTGCAACCCAGAAACAAAGATGCCTTCTGGTTTAGGTTAGTAAAATCCATGCAGAAGGATGAGCTATGCCATCTGTTGGCATGAACCAAGAGATGGCCTGAAAATTGACAAAAGAATTTGGGAAGACCCCAAACGCCAATCATGGTATGGTCACAGGGAGACAAGACAGAGGGGTGATAGTAATTGAGTAAGCAGAAACCTAATTAACTAAATCAGTTGGCAAGACTGTGTGAACAGAGACAGCATGCCTAGCCTGGAGCAGAGATAAGGGGAACCCAAGGAGCCAGAAGCTGGCCATATTTATTCTGTGATAAATTCACAAAGTTGATGCCAGGCTCAGAGGCCTCTTAGCAGCCAACCACTCAGCCTTCTCTCAGAGACGTTGACCTCTCATCAACCCTTTCAAGCCGCAACAATCCTTAGTCCCAAGGTTGTTATAAGGATTAAATAGCAAAGTGCCTGGCACATAGCAGGTGGCAAATGAAATAACCTTCCCATCTCACTCCATTCCCTTTTTTCCTAGAATAATAACCAGTGTCAAATCTTTCTGGCCACACAAGCATTTCCTCCTGGATTTTCCTGACATCCCTGCTCTTCCCAACTCTGGTGTAGCTATCCTCCCCCCACGTACGCATCCATCATATTCCTTTTCTCTATGCCCAGTGGTGTGTCACTGCTATTGTCAAGGAACAGCCCTCTGTTCTAAAGCTAGTGGGGAAGGCAAAATGAATAAAATAATCTCAGAATATCAACTCGCAACTGATGTATGCTATGAGGAGAGGTGAGAACATATGTAGTGGATGTTGTGGTGTGCCCCCAGACCTCCCTTCAGGACTAAGGCACTTATTCCCCCAACTGCCAGGAGTGTTAGATGTGAACAGCTCTCACCTGAATCTTCCCCAGGAATTGCCCTCAGCCTTTAAGAGTTGCCTCTACAAAGGTCACACCCTGCCCTGGAAGCAATCACATCCAATGACTGGTCCTTGCATCCCTATTACCTCAAGATGGAAACTCTGAAGGACCATCCCAGCTCCATACTCCTCCTGGGATGGACCTTGACCTTGTTATGTCAGAATCAAAGCTCAACTCCTTCTCCCTCTTCCGCGGGTATTGATCCCATAGGCGCTCTCCAGTAAACAACCTGGCCACAATTCTCTGTCTCAGCATCTGCTTCCCAAAGAACACATCTAAGACAACACGCAAAAAAGGGTTGATCTAGTTAGAAGGGTGGTGGCAATGAGTGGAGGTGTGAGGGTCACAGAAAGCTTTCCTAATGAAGGTACATTTAAGCTGAAATCTGAAGAGCAAGGAGTTATCTGGAGGAAGAATGTTCTAAGTAGAGGGAACAGAATGGGCAAAGACCCTGAGAAAATAAGGCAGTTTAAGGCCGTGTGGCTGGAATACTGAGAGTGAGAGGTATCAGGAAAGAGAGATGTGAGGATGGAAATGTAGGCATGGGCCAGATCAAGCAGGGCCTTATAGGCCAAGTTAGGTTACAATCTAACCAAAAAGCAAACTCTGATTCATGAGTGCATAGTCTGCTCAGGCTGTCATAACAAAATTAACAACATATCATAGGCTGGTTGGTTTAAACAACAGAAATTTCTCTTTCCACAGTTCTAGAGTCTGGAAGTCCGAGATCAAGTTGGGGCAGAGTTGATTTCTTCTGAGGCCTCTCTCTTGTGCTTACAGATGTCTGCCTTCTTGCTTCCTCTTCATGCGGTCTTCTATGCATAAGTTTCCCTGGTGTCTCTCCTTTGGGTCCAACTTCCTCTCTTATCACTCAGACTGGATTAGGACTTACCCTAATGACCTCATTTTACCTTAATCACCTCTTTAAAGGCCCGATCTCCAAATACAGTCACATTCTGAGGTACTAGGAATTAAAGCTTCAACTTACAAATTTGGAGAGGATACAACTCAGCCCATAACCATGATTTTTTTCTCTATATAAGATCCTACAAATGTATAAAACCTAAATCTCAATAAATTAATAATTTAAGTAACCATCTTTGTTGAAAATAAAAAATAACATTATATCGGACTAGCCCTAGGAAAAACAAAATATATGGTTGCCATATATATAAGTCTTTTCAACCACATCCTCACCAGCACCCTCCACTGCCCCTGAATCTGCCATCCCAATCTCCACTTTTCATTCACAGATCCTTCCATCCCTTCTGCTCCCATCTCAGGCTGGCTGCCTGCCAAGTACTGCTGGAGAAAATCAAATAGCTATGCTAATCCATTCCATTACAAATTCACAGTCTCCTACTTCTTCTGGGCTCACCATTGCCCTGCAATCCCCCTGTCCACTCCTGGTCTAGTGCCCCTGTTCTGCTCAACAATTGTACTAACCCTTCCCATCCTGTCAGCCCTGTCCACCGATCCCTACCCCTCACTCTCCGAATACCATCTGTCCTACCTCTCAGAGAAAGAACAGGTCAGTTTCTTTCCTCGTCCCCTCTTAATTTTCCCAAAGCTAACTAGAAGAAGCCACGTGGTATAGTTGAAAGAAAACAAGATTTGGCTCCAGACAGACAGTCCACCAGGTAAGACTTTCCTTCTTGGGCAAGTTCACCTCCTTGCAGTTCAGTTTCTCTAGCTGTGAGAGAAGGATCATTGCTTCAATATGGCATATTACCATACTTGGAATAACATCCAGACTTCTCACCATGGCCAGCAAAGGTGGCCCTAT